GTGTTAGAACAGGCTTTCTTATTCGTACTGCTGTGCAAAGAACCAGCGAAACTGTCAATCTTCTCGAAACAGGAAGAGTTATGCCCCTTTCACGTCCAAAAAACAATTTACATTACAATTACAGTCCATTTACAACTATATTTTTTTTGTTTCTAGCGTTAGAATAACCTTTACAAGATTATTTGTCGCAAATAATTGGGTTTGTGAGATCAATTACGCGGTGTAAAGTGGTGTGACGCGTTCGTGACTCGTTACGTCCGAGGGCTAGAAACCCGCCCGTAGACACCTTCTTAAACCACGCCGCGATACTTTTGAACTCTGAAAACTGGGCATTTATCCTACCTTATATAATTTGGTCGCGTATCTTTGTCTGTGTGTGTGTGCGGAGGTCAGTTTCGAGGCTCGATTTGAGGGCCTTCCCCGTGTCCAAAATGCCCTAATTCTCCGTCACCCGGGGGAATCGATCCTCCTCTTTCCGATGGTGTTTTCAGAATTCCGATAAAATACAAGTTTACAAAGTTAAAGCCGGTTTTATTGATTTTTGGGAGTCCGGGCAGGCTAATTTGCATAATGTGAAAAAATACAAATTCCCTCATTCATGCCAGTTGCACTGGCCCGTGTGGTCGGCAGAGGGGAGGGGTCCGAAGGACCCGAGTGATCGGAAAGTCAAATTCATCATGCAAAAACCGCATTCCAGCGCCCAAGGCCCGCGAAGCGGGTTTTGGGCGCTGGTCGTAAAATGTTTCAATTTGTCCATTTGCCAGCCGAAAGGCACTAAAATCGTTGGAATTAGAGGCAAAAAAAAATCATTTTTTTATCACCTATAATAATATCTAGGTTAATAATCGTATCTGTAGACGTATTGCTACGTTTTCTAGCCGAACGCCGATACGGTGTGCTGCTACAACAACCAGGTCGACTACTTTTGCTGCCTGGATGCGAGTGCGGACCAGTGCCCCGACTATCATCAGGTTTTTTATTATAAATACTTATTTTATCGTTTTTTATCTGAAAATGATTGTCTTTATTAAAGGTGTAATGATAATCGGTGCACCAAGCTCGCGGCGGCCCAATAAGAAACCGTAAATTAATTTCCGGTTTCTTGGCAGCGGTCATAAATCAAAAAATCTGTTCTTTCTCAACTTCGAACCATCCAAGTATGAAGAAAGTATAAATAGCGAATTTTTAGGTAACTGCCGTCATCCAGAACAACTTCCCCCAAAATCCGTTCGCGCTGAAGTCGTACTTCTTCCGCGAAGGTTCGTTTTCCCTTTTTTTGGTTGGATTTTAGACGTGCGCGACTAAACAAAATTGTTTTGAAAGTGATGTTTTCCCAAAAATCATCTGACAGTTCCGTTAGCAAATAAGGGTAAGAGTCTAGAAACCCCCCAGCCGGCACCAACTTTTGTATCTCGGCCCCCCCTTTGTGCTAGCGAGCTCTAAAGTATACCAAAATGTTCGCCGTAGGCTAATTAGTAAGACTACATGCAGTTCAGTCGAATAAAGTAGTGAAAAATAAAAATAAGGAAGGTAGGAAAGTTGAAAAGTCGGCTGGGGGGGGGGGGGTTTCCTAGACTTGAGCCCAAATAAGATACCTTGGCGGCTTCCCTGAAAACAAGGTCAGGGCGGAAGTATTTTTTGGCCAACAACAAAATGTATCTGGGATTGGGACTGGAGATAAGGGGTTGACAGTTTAATTATATTTATATTATAGTTTTATGTATATAGTATTTTTATACTATAGTTTTTATGATACTTATAGTATAATTAGTGTTTTAAGGGATTGAAGACGAGATCGTTGACAATGGCCTAGCCGAGGAAGGGCCAAACGATTCGGGGATGGCCGTGGAGAGGTATATATTTATTAAAAGTATCTTTTTTATAAATCTAAAGCTATATTTTATGAGTTGCCACCAATAAAACTATTTTTCTAATTAATGCAAAACTGCTAAATAAATACAAAAAAAAACACTTTTAGAAACGGCCCCGACAGCGGCTTCATCGTGCGACACGGGTGATCAGCACGGGATAACGCCAATTTAATAATACTACCTCATAATAAGTAATAAATGGTTGAATTCTACGCGATAATTTTCGATTTCGATATGGATTTATACTATTGGGAGCTCTGGACATTTTTCGAGGGTTTATAGAGGAGATTTTGAACGGCGATACGTACCGTGAATTCCGGAAGCTTTTATCGAGATGATATTGGCTTGATAACGACACTTCCGCGCCGTCCAGCCCCCAAGCGATGAATCATCCAGATATTTTATAGGGGGAGGTCAGATATCCGGTGAGTCAGCGCGGGTTACGGTAGATTGGGCGCCATTTAGTTATATGGAGAGGGCGGTGAAAGCATTATTTTCGTATTACTAAAAAAATCTCGTTTTTAACTAGTACGAAACTTAACGAATTCCTGCTATAACACGTTAATCTTAGCGATATTTAACGAGCTTTTCGGTGACTCAGCGGGGGTTACGGTAGTTTAGGCACCAATTAGCCGCGCTGATCAGCATACTTTTGACGAGAGTAAAAAGCCTTATATTTTGTTTCTCTAAAAATCTAGTTTTAGCGAGTGCGAAACTTGACGAGTTGCGACTATAACCCGTTATTCTTAGCGATATTTAACGAGCTTTTCGATGACTCAGTGCGGGTTACGGTAGATTGGGCGTCAATTAGCCGCGCTGATCGGCAGTTGCTTTGTCAAAAAATAAGTTCAAAATTGTTCAAAAAAATCTGGGTTTTCGCTAGTGCGGATCTCCAAAAATCGGGGTTCTCTGCCGTACACTAAATGATGCATGAAAGGCCTTGACCCGGCAGATCTCTTCTTCTAGACCCCACTTTTCAAATCCCCAACACAGCTTTTCCCCCTTATCATTCGAGGGCTTATACGCCTGACCCGCCGTTATCATAATCGTGCTTAGGGTGTACGTCGTACGCAGCTGTTTGTCGTTTGTCGGTTAGTGTCTGTGTGTAGGGCGGTTGTGGTTGGGGATGGATGGGAGTGTATGTGTATCTCTCTCTCTCTCTCCTCTCTCTCTCTCTCGTGCTCTCTCGCCTCTCTCCCCCGCCCGCCCTCTCCATTTCATTGCTCCCCCCGCCTTCCCCGTCGCGGGCACACGATTTTTCCCCCGGCCAAGGTAACGCTTTTCCGGCCGGGGTGTAAAAACGCTATAATCCCCGGATTTGGCCCGTTTTTGACCTTTTAAAGATTTGTTTTGAAAGCAGAGACTTTTGCTGGCCTATTGTCAGCAAGCAAAGGCCATAAAGTCGAATGCTAATAGGTTACGGCATTAAAATGCTCGGAAACTCGTCGTTTTCTCGCTTTTTTTCTTATTTTTTGCTCGCAGAACTAGGAAGTCTTTAATCAACCATTATATTTTGTTGATTTTCCTATTTTATTTAGCACCCTTGAAAAGTCCAAAAATATGATTTAGCTATTTTTAGACAGCTAATTAGCCGAAGAACTCTTCATTTTCTCTCCATATTTCTTGTTGTACGCCCAAAATTAAAAATTCTGGGTTAGCTCTCGTATTATTTGTATCACACTTTAAAACTAACTCACGTTAAAAAGACCATTAAGCCGAATGTTAATAAATTACGGCATTAAAAGGTTGAGAAAACTCGCAGTTTTATTCATTTTTCGCGTTTTTTTTAACAAAAAGAAATTATTTTCTACGCTGTTTTAGCCTCTGGACTATGTTTTAAAGTTTACAACAGGGATTGATACAATTTTTGTCACTTGAAAATCTGATTATTTAATTTTTTTGGAGCATTTTGTCGTTGATTTGGCCTGATTTCCCACAGATTTCGGGTTTTTTTCTCCGATAATGCCATAAAATTAACTGCCGGAATTTTGGGTCTCTAAAAGATATTTGTTGCATTTATTTACGCGTTTCTCGCAAATGAATTTTGATTTATTTTGATTTGTTTCAGAAGGGGCCGTGATGGCCGAGCCCCGTTCCATCACAATTCCATGGGCCATCACATTCTTTTTGAACCTGCTGTTCCTCGTAAGTCTTTTCAGAGCTTATTTTATTGATTTATTTTGAAAAGGCGCGTTTTCTCAGTGTTTTTTTTACATAATTCTGCTTGAATTCGGGCGTTCTGCTCTTTTTAGCTTATCTATGGCAAATTACCGTCGTATTTTTTGTTTTTAGTTCGTTTCCTTATCCTTTTGTTTTCTTTGTTTTCCGTTTCCTCGTTGACCTTGCTGATCAATTTTCCTCTTCCGGTGTTATTTTTTGTGGGATCTTATGAAATGACGTTATTTTTATCCGTTTTTAGAACCCTAAATCGACGTTTTTCGCAAATTTTTTTATCTGATTTGCTATTAGGTTGTCGACGTATCTTTTATGCCTCATTTAAAACCCAAATTTCTCATTTTAAAAATTTTTCAGTTCCACTTTTGAACGGCTTTTCCCAAAAAATCCGTCAGCTTCTTCCTCGTCGCGCAAAAAGTTTGTGTGCCGGATCTGCGCGGGATTCGTCCCCGCCGGACCCCCGTCTGCCATTGATTCTTTTTCTCCTTTTTCTTTTCCGTTTTTTCCCTTTTCCTTTTTCCACTTTTTTCCTCGTCTCCCCCCGTCGGTCGTCATGCAGCATTTTTTTGGGGAGGCTGGTTGTTGTCGACCCTGTCACTCTGGCTGCTGCTAAACATTCGCCGCCGGGCGGAGTTGATGCAATAACGGGGGGGGGGGCAGGTTTGGTTAAAAATTGTCGGTTAGGGGAAAAACTTTTTCTTAAGTTCTAATATAATACGAGGAGTGCTTTCACCTTTTTTTACTATTTCTAAACGTACAAATTTCACAAAATTTGAAGGAAAATTGAAAAATAATGGATTTTTCGACCAAAAGCGCCGAATTTTCTATTTATAATGAAAAATTTTCTGCTTTTCCAAATAGTATTTAATACTACTTAAATTTTACAAACGCATTTAAAATGGGCGGGTTGATGTACAAAAATGGGTTTTCAACAAAAGTGGCGATTTTCCAGGAAAATGCCCATTTTTAAACCTTTTAAAAGTTTTCGCAATACTTTTCCGCTTGAAGATAGGTCAATTTTCTTAAAACCCATTAAATTGCTTGCTACTATTTTAATCTCTGGAAGTAGGACCCCCCCCGATAACGCCAAAGAACCCGCCTGAAATTCTAAAACTCAACCCAGGCTGCCTTGGCGTCGATTGCTCTTGTCGGTCGGCCTTTTTGTGTATTTTTCGGTCTAGGTTCTGTGCCGTTTTTCGGCGCGTCAGCTATCGATCGATGGGGGAGGGCGGCCGATCATTTTGGGGGAAAGGGTGCGAATAATTCGGCACTTGCCCCATCACTCTCTCTCTCTCTCTCTCTCTCTCTCTCTCTCCTTAGAACTGGATGTCAACCCCGATGTACATATTGAGACAATCGTGTAACCTCGGTTGACTGGCCGATTCCATTTTTAGGGGTAAAAAGAGTTGCGCGTGGAAATGGAGAAAATAAAAATAATATAATATATTAAAATAGTTAAGATGTAAACTCTATTTTTTTTCAGTTCTGCTCGTTCGGGCTGCTGGGGATGGTGGTGGTGGCGGCCGTAAATCCACCGCCCGCCGATATTGCGCCCAAGCAGGTCAACGAGTACCCGCAGGTAGGAAACAATGAAAAGGGACAGCTAGAGAGGGTAGCTACGCAAACGTATTGTACAGATTTTTTTGTACAAAATGGTTTTTGGCCTGTTTAAGAAGACTAAAGTGGTAGGAACGACGTGGCTCATCGGTTAGGTGTCGACAGCTTTCCTGGAATGTGAATTCTGGAGCTTCCTGATCCCTTTAAAACTCCATTTACAACCTATACACCTATGGATTCCGTGGAATCCATCTACTCCTCCCTCCACTTATCCCGTCACATATTTATCCACACACACCCACACCCCGCCCAGCCAGTCAGTCAGTCATTCTGCAAAATGAGCGCTATGGCGCTCATTTATAGCAGAAGGGGAGCATGTCGTTTCGTCGCCAGCCCCGAAAAGGGGAAGGATAGGGGGTCTCGTCGAATATTCAGGCAAGAGAGAGAGGGAGAGAGATAGCTGAAACACCCCCCGGGGGACGACCCATCCAACCGCGAGAAGATGAGCTACTACGGGTCATGAAGGGCCTTTTCGGGGGTTTGGGTGGATATATCCAATCTTTTTTCCGGGGAAACCGGAAGAATTACTGAACGGCTCGAAGTTGAGGTCGTAAATTGGTCTCTCGGTTGGGAAGATACATGTTCAAGCTATTTTAAAAAAAATCACGACCTTGAGACAGCCTTGACGCGCCCTAAACGCGTTCTACTACGTTAAGCTACGCCCCAGTACACCAGTATCGAGACGCAACAGGAAACTACACTCCTATTGATAAACCGCAGACCGCAGATTTCTTTCTCCAATTCCCCCATCACTCCTCGAGCCCAAATCGCCGGGAAGAAATACATTTTTCCGGGCGTATGTTTGCGTGTTTGTATGTATGGGGCAGGGGGTGGAAAGTTGGCGGCCTGGGGGGATGGATATTATTCAATTTGGAGGCCCCTTTCCAGCCAGTCCGTTCGAGCGGAGTGTCCCGTAGTGGCCGGCCACTAAATGAAACTTCCACTCGCTAGCCCCCGACTGAAATTGGCATCCAGACTTTCAGGAAGGGAGCGTTAGAAACGATGGAAGTAATACGGAAATGTTCAAAAAAATCGTCAAATACAAATTTTTAACATTATATACGATTTAAAATCTACAAAAATGCTTGACATTTTATATAAATTACGGTAAAAATTGCTTAGAGTCCTTAAAAATGTAATGGAAATTACAGAAAATAATTAAAACTATTGAAAATATGCTGTGATTCTAAGTTACTGGAAAAAGTCATTAAACTATCTTAAAATTGATAAAATGTGCATAACCCCATTCCATTACAGTACCTGATGACGATCGGACTGCTGGCGCTATTCGGCTGGAGTCTCTTCTCGCTCCATTTCCTCGGCGTCATCGCCACGTCGATCAGCAGCTCCTTTCTTCTGTCAATAGTACGTTACGATACTAATGACGTACAGTATCTACGTTTTTTCAGTTCATCCTCTACCAACTTGGGCAGTTGTGTGCTCAATTTGTCATTCTTGCCTTCACGCTGACGGTTCGGACGAGGGTAAGCAAATTTTTGGCTCGTTTTGCATTCCAAGGGCCTGATAAAACGCGATTTTTTAGGTACTTGTTCCTTAGCGGTGGGCATATTGCCCCTGTCGATAGTATCCCTTTTTGAGCGCCAGAAATTACAATAAAAATGCCAAATTCTATCAGGCGCCCGATACCCCCCCGATAACGAACCAGAGCCATTTTTCCAAGGCATAGAGATAATCAGAATCCACTTTCAGTTACACCGCCGACTCGAAGACGTTTACATCGGAAAAGCGCGCTGCTCGACAGGGTTCGGCTGTGAGCCGGTCAGCCGTTTCCAACACTCCGAGACGCTACTCATCGTCTTCTTCTCGGTGTGCACGTTGGCACAGGTGAGCCGAGCCAAATCCCCTGACGAAAAAACGAGAAACCAATCATTTCCCCACCCGCTAATGAACTAGTACCGAATTTATCCGCTTTCAGATCGCGCTCCTGATCGCCTCGTCGGTGCTGTGCGAGCGCATCTCCTACAAGGAACTGCTGAAAGCACAAGCGCAACGAGAACGCGAAGAAGACGAGGATGCCCTCTTTGCTGATGATGGCCACGATACGGCGTTGAGTACGGCTAGAACTTGACGGGTTTTTCGGCTCCCCCAATCTCTAATTCTGCTCCCAAAGACGGTTTTGTAGCCTTGAAGTTTGTAGTCTACAATTGGCGACAAGTTTCAAATTTGTAGCCTACAAGCTAGTTCTGGTTTTGTAGTTTGTAGCCTACAAACTTGCCGACGTTTCAACCTTGTAGCCTACAAACTAGCTCTGGTTTTGTACTTTGTAGCCTACAACTTTTCAAACAGTATTTGAAGTTTGTAGCCCAAAATCATGCTAATCCAGTGATGTTTGTAGCCTACAAATGTTACCTGATTTTGTAGTTTGGAGTCTACAATCTTTCGCGACAGTTTAAGTGGAACTTTTGAATTTGTAGCCTATAATTCTTCCAAACGAAAGCTACAAACTACAAATTCCACCGTGAAAAACTTTGATCATCCCCTAAATTCCTTCGCCAACCCCAGGCAGCTTGCCAATTCCATGCAGCTAAACTCTAGAAAACTATCCAAATTCTGCCCTTCCTTGTACAGAATCCAGATTTTCTAAACCATTTCTATTTTTCCACGTTCTCCTAGAATTTTCAAGGGACCGGTAACCCCCTCATTGGCAGCATTTTGGCCGCTCCCACCCGCTACGAGTACGTCCTATGCACGTTGCCTTATGTGGTTTCATTACTACTTATTACCTACTGTAGGGTGGTACGAAATTCACTTGGTATTTGGCGTCTTCTATCGACGATCTTGTAAAACAAAATTTATCGCTAAGGCTCAGGTTTTTGGAATTTTTGGTACCGGTCTTTTAGCGGGGGGAGGCAATTTTATACCCCTTGTATTTTATTGCTTTTCGTAGTTATTGATTGCTAGAAAGCGATGATTTATTTAAAACGCATTGAAAAATTGTCAAATATTGCTTTTTCGCCATTTTACATCAATTTTTGAGCAAAAATCCTGATTTTTCAAAGTTTGCACCATTTTTATGTGCTTTTTGCATCTAAAAACGGTGTAAAAATGCTATGAAAACGATTTCATGACATGATGCATTTTTGTAGGGCCGGAAGATTACAAAAATTCGGCTCCCCCGCTAACAGAACAGTACCAAAATTTGAGCCCGATCGTCTAGAAAACGTCAAAATGCCGAGTGATTTTTCGTAAGTCTATAAATAATTTTTGGACCAATGCCAATTTTATAAAAAACCTGTTATTTCTCGTGCCCAGCCATCCTTCACTTCACTTATTCCCACCTCCCGATCGCCCCTTGTTTCATCCCGTACTGCCTATATATTCTATACGAAATACGCCACGCTACGAAATCACGATTATCCCACGTTGTTTTGGATATTTTACGAACGTTTCTACCTTAATTTTTCGGATTTTTTTGTCCACCCTGCCCTCCTCCGGTGATCCCCAACAAATTTTGTGCCTTTGCCGCCTCGACTTTTCGCTTCTTGTTTTTTTTTGTTTTGCTAATTAAAAAGAGATTTCTACCATAATAATTGGTCAATTTACATGAAAAACACACAGAAAAATCCATAAAAATCAACAAAGTTTCAGGAGTCCTAGAGGCCCGATTGAAAAACAGCTTTTTCTCGGCCTAGGCAAGCCGTATCGCAATGATTTTGATACCATTTTGGAGTGCGGAAAATAGCGCTTTTTAAACACTAAATTATATAAGTCTAATTTTAATTACCTGGCCTACACACAGCGCTTTATAAAGCAGTCGGCAACGGAAAATGCTTAAAAAATCTAGCCACGAAAATAAAGCGCGTGCACCGCATCAAAATAGACATTAGTAATGGGGGGTGGGCGATGGCGCGTCATTTGGAGTCTCGCGTTCTTTTCGAAAGATGAGGAGATGGTCAAACAGTAGATGTGGAATAAGTGACGCTCGACGCTCTCAATCAGAACCTCATAGCGCTCTCTCTCTCTCTCTCTCTCTCTCTCTCTCCATTTATCCACCCTCACAAGATATCTGTATCCACCTCACCAGGTCCACAAACATTGATTTTCCCGAGGGGAAACATGCCTTTAACAATTTATTTATACCTTTGCGTTGTTTCTAATGAACACTAATAACCAATAAATTAAATTAGCCCCCCCCCCGCTAATAACCCAGTACCAATGTTCCACATGGAAACATGCGTTTTATAAAGACCCTACTTTGGCACTCTGCGAAAACGAACATTTATGTTTTCTTACCTATGCAGGCATCTTAAAAAAATTCTGTTTTTTTTCATTGATTTTCTGGGCTTAAAAATGCTATAAAAACTGTCGGGATCAATGGCTTATTTTTTGTTGACCCTCAGAGATCACCTGAAGCCACTTCGGCTCCCTTTTTTCCTAAGTCTACGAGCATCAACGCCTAAAGTATTTAATTTTGCCGGCGTCATCAAAAAATGTGGTCCCTCGAGGATGCGTTAGAATGGCTAACAAGCCGCCATCCATCTTTCCGGTTCCCTTTTACGAATCTTGCCGATCGACGTTCGAAATTTGGGCCATTTCATCGCGTTGAAACGGTCTTGAAAGAAGCCTTTCATTTCTTTCACTGATGCCAAATCATAGGCCCAGTCACTGAACAACGCCTCGAAAGCGGTGGAAAATTTTGGAAACGACATGCCGAAATTTTTTTAAAAAGTTTTTTATCGTTAATGCCTAAAATAGTGCTACAAAAAAACTTAGGGTTCTTTTGCATTATCGGGGGGGGAGGTTTTCTGCTGTTTCCATTTTTCTAAGAAAAATAGAAGAAGTTGGTTTTTGCAAGCGCAAAAGCTTTACAAATTTGTTGAAAAATACAAAAATATTGATTTATTCAACCAAAATTTTAAATTTTTAAATTTTTAAAAAGTTTTTAAATAGGTTTAAATGGTTTAGAAAGTATCAAAGTTTTTAAATAGTTACGAAAATACCAACCAGCGATATTTCGACCAAAATTTCGAATTTTAAACGCACTTAAATTTTTACAAAAATACTTTTAAAATACTTTACTTTATGTATACAAAAAGAAGTCTCTGATATCCCCCCCCCCGATAATGCGAAAGCACCCAAAGGTCTTGAGCGTCTGCCGCCCAAGTTCTTCCATAAAGTTGACCTTCACTCAAAAAACCCTAAAGTTGATCGTTTTCCCGGGCTACTGTAGACTTTGGCCATTTACGGCTTGCCCAATTTGCATAAGCAAATATTCGAAGAAGGCACTGGCAAGGTTTTTCTTGAATTTTCTCTTCCCTAGAAATCGCCCTAAGACGGCTGATAAAAATGGTAAAAAACATATACATTTCTGGTGCTTTTGCATTAGCGGGGGTGGGGTTAAATCGGTGTTTTTAAAATTAGCGGATAGAATTTATAATGTTTTTCATTTAGGAATAGCAAAAAAGGTTTCAGCATTTTATTTATATTACAAAAAGTTGAGCCATTTGGAAACTGCCCCCCCCGATAATGCGAAAGCTCCAAATTGTCCATTGCCCTGTGTATCAGACCGTTTGGCTTTTTTTATACTTCTTTCCCCCACCTCGAATCATCCCATTCAACCCATCTCGATGGGCCCGCCAATTTTCCCGTCCGCCCGACACCTAACGACGATTCGCAGGCAAATTGGAGCGTCGCGGAGAGGCGCTGGGTATTTTATCTTTTTTTATTCCATCGACATCGCGCTTATTTTCAGTTTTTTGGTTGTTTTTTAGGTTTAAAGGGCTCGGCAATTCAAAATGATTAATGACGTTGCGCAGCGGGCGCGTCGCGTGTCGCGGGTGCGGAAAACTGTGGAAATTACACAGGCATTTCTGAATTACCTCAGGAAATTGCCGCATTTTTTCTAGTTTTCGTTATCCGTTTTTTTTGTTTTCCCTGGTTAATTACAGATCGTGCCCCAAAACGGAGATTTTTGCATTGTTTTCCCGCCGGGAGTCATTTTATCGTGATTTAGTGGTTAAAAATTAGCGAAAACACGATTTATTTCGTGTTTTCGGATTTTAAAGGGCTTGGCAAGTCATTTTTTTGGGCTTTCCTGCCTTGCCTAATAAATACTCTTCACTTTTCCGCACCACTTCTAATTGTTCCCAAACTGATCTCACGTCCTTTACTTCCAAAAGGCTATTTGCTAGCTTACCCCGCGCCGAGGCCCACTTGAATTTTTACCCCGAAATTTTTTCAGGTTACTGTTTGTCGTCGGCCGTATTTGGTGTGCTTTTTGGAGGTTTGAAGTGGGAATCTGGGCCCTAGTTGGATCCTGTAGAGCCGAAGAACCGCCCATACTATAGAATCTACGCGCCGCGGATACACTAGAAAAACTCGGAAGCGCCGCAAAAAATAGAGGTGATTTTTTATTTTTTAGAAATTTAATTTTTACAATTTTTTTGCGAATTTTTCCACTTGAAATATAGTGAAATTTTACTAAAAACAATAGAAAATACTCAAAAAAATGTCTAGAATTTTCTAGCCACCGCCCCGTCGTTGAGCATGACCATCTCGTACTCGGGTAACTTTGTGCAGCTGCTCCTCCGATGGAAGGGGTCGATATTTCGGAGTGTTTGGAAGGAGCTGCTCGTTTGGGTGACGCTGTACTACCTTGTACGCGTTTCATACACGCACGCCATACCCTGGGCCGATCCGAAGGGTGCGCACAAGTACAGGTAAGCGTAAGGTAGGGTACTTACGCGTACTCTGCACCATTTATAGGATTGTAGTGTGACCAGGGGTAAACAGTGAAAATGCCGACACTTAGGATGTCAGAATGCCGACACCGAATCGCTTCTAATCGAATTTTCGTGCATAATTTTGCCTTGTCGGCATTTTGACTGTCGCGGTAAGACGCTTGTCGGCATTTTTATGCCATATTCATTTGAACCTTTCGACATTTTTAGTGTCTCCATTTCGTTTATGGTCATTTTGGATGTCGGAATTCTATTTTTGTCGGTATTATCGCTGCCGGCAATCCACTCTTGTCGGCATTTAGTGTCTGCATTTTTGCGTGTCGGAATTTCGACCCTACGCCATTTCTTCTGTCGACATTATGTCGGCATTTTTTAGTACCTTTTTGGCTTGCCGAAATTTTGGCTGTCGGCATTCTGCCCTTATCGGCATTATGTCGGTTGGCATTCGACGCCTGTCGGCATTTTTCTACCAACCGAAATTTAGGGAGAACTTCATCTCGGTCTGCCAGCAGTGCAACGAGTATACAAAGTTGATTCCACTCACGTTTCTCCTCGGATTCTATGTGTCGAATGTGGTGTCGAGGTGCGTTTTCTTGGTTTGGCACCCAAATGCCGACAAAAGCCTAAAATTCCGTAATGCCGAAATCTATAGTATTGCCTTGCCCGTTCCTTTAAATTGGCCGCTCCAGATGGTGGCGCCAATTCGAGTGCCTATGCTGGCCGGAAGACCTGCTCTCATTGTTATGCTTCGTCGTGCCGGCCGACGATATGAAGCAGGCCAGGGTCCGGCATCGAGTCGCCAGATATCTGAACTTGACGTGCGCTCTCGCGTGGTGCGTGATTTTGTGTAGTTTGTAGCCGCTTGTAGGCGTGAAATCTCGTCAAAAATACGTCTCCGCTTCCCGACGCTGCGCCATATCATCGACAGCGGCCTGTTGACGGAGACGGAATATGAGCAGTTGATTGATATTGCGGTTAGTGTATAATATATACATTATCACTTAAAAGGAATTCAATTTATGTAATTTTTAACACATTTAAATAGTTTTTAAAGATTTAAGACTTTCGAAATTTTGAACTGAACATATTTTTTAATGGTCTATTAGATTTTCCGACAAAATTTTACCTAAAATTTTGTAAAGTTTTAACTTTCCACATTAAATACAGTCATATTATAGCTAAAAACAAAATTAAAATACTTATTAGGACGTTAACAGGTAGTTTTCGACTTTTGCAACCCCCCTGATAATGCAAAAGCACCAAAAAACGGCGAGTTCCTGCATGCTATTACGCCGTAAAATCAGCCAAACGATTACGACATGTTATTAGAGGCTACCGTACCTTTAAAATAAGAAAATCCCGGATTCGATTACGCCATTTACTCAAAACTACGATTACGACATGTAATTAAAAATGTAGTAAAACGTAATTAACTCAATTTTCAGAAAATCAGCCAAGGATGCGTGTGGCTGACCCCCCTACACTGGGTCCAACAGATCGTCTCGGAAACGGTGGCCGAAAGCGGTGCCCTGCCCGCCTACGTCAACAATTTCAACCAGGTACGCTACGCTACGCAAGCGTACGCAAACGTGCGTAAACGGTACACCCCTGTACTCACGAAACCCCGCACCCCTTTTTCGTTACCATTGCAGGAAGTGGTCTTTGACACGCTCTACCTTATAACAACCGTAAGTACCGCAAGCATCCGAGTAACTGGGAATTAACTAATCGGTTCTTGTGCATTATCGGGGGGGGGGTCTTTTTAAAGGATCTAATTTTTGATATAACGCCTCTATTGACCGATTTTGACCATTCCAAACGTAAAAACTTTACAAATTTTCATTAAAAACCACAAAAATGTCGCTTTTTCGACCAGAAATGGCCGATTTCCGATAAAAAACTAGAGAAAAATTTTTCTAAAGTTTTTGTAATTTTTTTTCACGGTAAGTATAGCTAAATTTTATTAAAAACGCTATTACAGTATTTATGATTTTGCTAAGTTTTTGAACTCATGGAAAAACATCCCCCCGATATTGCCAACGCACTAACGAAAGATATCTAAATTTTTATGGCCAATTTTTTTAAGGACATTAATCTCCTGTAATGTGATTTTATAACAATTTTAATAGCATCCGCCATCATCATATGAGGGCCTAAAACCGCTGAAAACTTTTTCTAGGAGCTCAAATCGTTCCGGATCAGCTTCCGGCGGCTGTTCTGTCACGATTGGGTGTGTGTGCCGTTAGTCTATACGCAAGTAGGTGTCTTTACGTTGCTTTAATCGGCCTTGAAAATCATCAAGGAACCGTGACGCGCCTTGAACGCGTTGCCAAGCCCTTGTTTTAGGTAGCTGCTCTCGCCACGTACGCCTTTTTCTTCTTCTGCCTGTTCGGCCGGCAGACGATCGTCGAGTCGGAGCTGCGCGCTAAGCATGGTAATGCCACGATCTCCACTAAACCCGATTTTTAGGCCTGAAACGGTCGACTTCCGGTTCCCGATCTTCACCGTCGTGCAATTTCTCTTCTTCGTTGGGTGGTTCAAGGTATCTGATTTAATCTTAGGATTAGCAGGCTTGGCTTAGACTTAGGCTTAGGCTTGACTTGGCTTAGGCTTAGGCTTAGGTCTTAGGCTTGGTTTAGGCTTAGGCTTTGGGCTTAGGCTTGACTTGGCTTAGGCTTAGGCTTAGGTTTGGCTTAGGTTTGGCTTTGGCTTAGCTTAGGCTCAGGCTTATGTTAAGACTTTTGCTTGCATTTCTACGTTTCGAAGACGTCTACGTTTCTAGGTGGGCCAAGATCTGATGCGACCGTTCGGGCTCGACGATGATGACATTGAATTGTCCTACATTCTCGACCGCAACATCTTGACGTCATTTACGATAGCTAACACGCTGCAGACGAGGTCACCACGTGAGTCTTACAAAACACTCCAATTGACGCAACCCTACACAAGCTGCCAAGCTACAGTACAAAATGACCCTAGCCAAGCCTCAGTAGCTGCTCCGTGCAGTACACAACACTCCAAAATACAGCTCCAAAACACAATACACTCCAATTGACGCTGTACACGATGATTAATAACGAACTTACACTACGCAACACTCCAATACACCCCACAGTACGATACTGCGGTTGACGTCCCGTTTTTTTTCAGCCCCATTTGAAGAAGATCCCTACTGGAAGGCGCGCCACGACCCGAACGTCGCCGATTCCTCATTAAAGTATGTGTCCGGTGGATCGTATCGAATTTTTCGAGCTTTAGGTACGGGCGAATTGACTTGAGTCGCGCGAATCACAAGCATCCGCCCAAACTCCATATGCTCGCCGACCTGAAGACGGTCGATAAGCAATTTGTGGTAATGCCTCCTCTCTCTCTCACTCTCTCTCTCTCTCTCTCTCTCTCTCGCTCTCTCTCGCTGGCTCTCTCTCTCTCTAACTCTCTCGCTATAGAAACATTTTCCAGCAACACCAAGTCGAAAACGGATGTGCCCTGCACGACAAAATGGATATGGTGGAGGAGAGGAAGTAAGTGGAGTGGATAGAGAGAGAGAGAGAGAGAGAGAGAGCGACTGAATGAGAGAGTAAGGGAGAGTGAGTAAGACAGAGTGAGAGAGAGACTGAGTGAGAGAGAGTGAGAGAAAGAGAGTGGGAGAGATATTCGAAATTTCAGGCTGCTGTTCTGGTGACGTCTTCACTACCGCTGATTAACCCACAAAAATGGTCTCAATTCTGGGTGAAAGTGCTTGGAAAAAATTTCTGCGATAAATTATGCAAACTGTGATTTTCGCACGAAACGAGAGAGAGATAAAGAGAGAGAGCGAGAGAGAGAGCGAGATAGAGAGAGTGAGAGAGTGAGAGAGTGAGAGAGAGCAAGAGCGAGAGAGAACGAATCAGAGAGGGCGAGATAGAGAGAGAGAAAGAGAGAGAGAGATAGAGAGAGAGAGAGAGAGAGAGAGAGAGAGATAGAGAGTAAGAGAGGGAGAGAGAGCGAGAGAAACAGACAGACAAACCGACAAACGTTCCCGTTCGACTCACCCCCTCCTCATCTGGGGTCAGTTTAAGGGCTAGTTTTGCTAGCCACTGTGGGTATATGTCACTCTCCTCTGTCTGTCTGTCTGTCAGTTTGTGTGAATGTGAGAAAAGGGGATGGATTGAGAGTCAATTAAAAGGATGGGCAATCGACAGCCCTCCTCCTCCTCATACCCCTTTTGTCGCAATTGCCACCACCCACCCCAAAGGCTTTTCCTTTAGAGACTGGGTATGTGCCATCGCTTCAACCACTCGCTGGCCATCCCGCCGTTCCTTCTTTCCCCTTCACAAAATCGATGTTGTTCGATTTTTTTTTGCTTATTGTTAGTACGTTTTAGAGATAAGCCGAAGCCTTAGCTTATGCTTAAAGCGAAGCCTATCCAAAGCTTAAGCATATGCACATACCAAGCCTAAGCCTAAACCCAAGCTTAGCCTAAGCCTGAGCATAAGCCTAAACCTAAGCCTAAGCCTAAACCTAAGCTTAAGCCTAAACCTAAGCCTAAACCTGAGCCTAAGCCTAAACCTAAGCCTAAGCCTAAACCCAAGCCTATACCTAAACCCAAGCCTAGGCTTAAGTACAACCTAAGCCTATGCCTGTGCCTAGGCCTGAAACAACGCTAGATCTCAATTTAAGCTTCTCAACTTTGATATACCATGACGTTGCTATGAGATAAACATGGCGTAATCGACTTTAAGTGACACTACGTTCAACCCCCGGTAAAAATTCAGTTGCCTAAACGATGATTGTCAGCTTCCTGGTCCCTTTAAAATAGGATACCAGAATTCCGTGGCGTAATCGATTCGAGGTGTCCTTAAAACGACTAATTTCATGCCAGAACGTGCTGATCCGTAAAATGCGGAACAGCGGATTCCTGTTAGCGCACCTCAGCCTTCCTCCCTTTTTTATGTCAATCCGCTGGGGGTGTGAGGCTGTCCTGCCAATGGCAAACTGTCATTTGGGAGTGGCGCGTAGTCGCTCTCTCTCTCTCTCTCTCTCTCTCTCTCTCTCTCTCTTCCGAACTTATCACCCTGTCCCTGTTTTCGGGTATGCTTTTGGACTGAATTCTGCCGCCTCAAGCAGCCATCACCAACCCATCCTCACAGCCATGGCAAAGAAAAGTGAATTTCCAGCCGCCATCCATATCCACATCCCCTATCAGCCATGCATAGTAGCTAGTCGGAATTTCCGGCAGAATTCGTATCGATTTGGTTAATAAATCTGGCTTCCTGGTTCCTTGAAAATTATTAATCCACGATTTCTAACGATATTTTAGTTTCCCAACACCTTTAAACTTGCCTTCCGATCAGAATTTCCGAGCGTAATCAGTTAAAGGTATCTAAAATCACTTGCCTTGCCAGTCCCTTTAAGCTAATGTTCACAGAATTTAATGGCGTAATCATGTAATTGATTACTTCCGGGTCCCGCTAAAATTGATTTAGTGACGTAAACGATTAAGGAAAGTAGCGTAGAAGTAATTGACTTATCGATCCTTTAATAATTTTTTAGCTTAGAATTTCATCGCGTAATCGATTAGATTCGGTGCACAATCCCTTTAAAATCACACACAATCAGCCGGAACGATACCTGCTGTCTCGCCTAATTAATCGCTCTACGGCGCGAATGGAAAGTAGGTGATAGCCGGGCGAAAGTTATTTATCACCGCCTAGTCGCATACTTTGGGTATGAATCCATCAAAATTAGCGGGTTTGTCGGCATTATCCTTTTTCGACTATGAATTTCGGCATTATGTAATCTCCATATCAGTAATTTCGACATCACAATAGCGTTTTTTTTCTGGCATCTAGCCATCGATTCAAAGATCTACCACCCCGCGCTAGCCAGTAGAAAATGCCGATCACCCCCCAAAACAGGGCTGCCATTCCGAGGCTCAACCCGCATTTCACCCCCCGGGGGCTTTGTTTCTTTCTCTCCCTCTCTCTCTCACTCTCTCTCACTCTGTCTCTCTCTCTCCACCCCTTTCCCTTGATAGCGCGGGCTGACTGTAAGAACCGGAACATCGCCGAATTTTTTTGCGCGTCATGAAAACATTCTTTCCTGATTTCCCTATCGTGATCCATCTTGTTTATGGCTTTTTTGGATGGTCAACACCTTTAAAATAAGTATTTATTTTTAAAATTAGAGCCAGTGAATGCCGAATCGGATACTGGTCATCGGGCTGCTCGCCGGCTTCTTGCCAGGTAAGCTTCAGTTTTTGTAGGTTTTTAAAGGGACTTGGAAGGCAAAAAAGGTAAAGCCTCTGGAGATTCTAACATCCCAGCCCCTTGAAAAATAGAAATTTCCGATACCTCCATCACTATGCTACACTCCTCTTTACATTTCAGCGGCCCTCGGCTGTATGGCCGGCTACGAGGACGAGCGTGATCGTCTACGGGAACATCTCGGAATCGAGTGGCTGCCGCACGGGTTGGATAAAACTGGTACTGTAGAGCTATGTAGTTTGTACTAGGCTGTGTTTTTTAGCCAAAAGTTGTAGTTTGGAGTTTACAATATTTTTACGGTTTAATTAAATTTTCAGCAGTCAGCGACAAGACAATCCGCCGGTCGACAGATTTGAATTGTGACTTTAGCAGCCCGAAGGAGTGCCGGTAATTGGAGTGTGGCGGAATTGGAAAAGCTCGCTTTCAGGTGGAAAAATATGGAGGCGAGGCACGAGATGGATTCGCTGGATTTTCATCTTTTTGAAAAGGTGATTACTTCCGTCTCTATCTCTCACTCTCTCTCCCACTCTCGCTCTCTCTCGCTCACGGATACCTCACTCTCACTCCCACCCGCTCTATATCTCTCGCTCCCACTCACACTATCACTCTCGTTCTCGCCCTGGCCCCCACTCTCACTTTGCCTCTTTCTTTAGCGATATATCTCTCACTGTCTCTCTCTCATTGGCTCTCTGGCACTTACACACACTCACACACATTCTCTCTCATTCGCCCTCTCACTCTATTTCTCTAACTAACTCTCTCTCACCGGCAGGCTCACTCTCTCGCTCTCTTTCGCTCTCTCTTCATATCTTAAAAAAATCAAGAAAAACTAAAAAATGTCAGGTGGACTGGACGGAATTCCCGGCTCTCCAAGTCAGGCCGGGCCCCAGCAAAGTCGCCCAGGGCGATAAGATGATCTTCACTGGCGACAGGGTAAGCCAACGCTCTGCGAGAACCTTGTCTTTTTCCAGAAAAGAGAAGAACAATCTGCCATTTACTACAGCTCACCCATCGGCTGCCAGAATGCCACCGGGAATTTGACGTTCACGTACGTTTTCTAAAGCTTACCACGGCACCGGGTATGGAGAGAGAGAGAGGGAAAGAGAGAGAGGGAGAGTGAGAGAAAGCGAGAGAGAGGCGGGGCGAGAGGGAAGGAGAGAGAGAGAGGCGGGGGAGAGAGGGAAGGAGGGAGAGAGAGGCGGGGGAGAGAGGGAGAGAGGGAGAGAGAGAGCGAGCGAGAGATAGGCGGGAGAGAGAGAACGCTTGCCTCTTTCTGAAAAAAATTTCTTATGCTATTTTTCAGCTTCTGGGTGTACAATGATGCCCGGGTGGAGGTGCTGCTCCTCGAGGATCGGCCGGGCGGCAAGCTGAAGGAGCTGGCCGAGAAGCCGTATGTTGATTGCGGTACGCTTGCCGAGGCCTTTAAAATGGAATCCATTTTCTTTCAGGGACAATCAGTCTGAACACCGAGTGCCATGCCGACATCCCAGCTCGGCAGACGCCCTTCCGGTTGGCCATCCGGGCGTATGATATTGCCAATAAGGTACGGGAGAGAGTTTGAAGGGGGTGTGACACGCTTTTTGTGTGAGCGGTAAAGCCGGAAGACTTACTATTAAAATTAGCTTCCCCTGCTAAAAATTTCCCCCACTGCTAACAGCCCAGAACCCAAAAATCTAGAACCTCCAGACTTCCCGGCCCTTTTAAACTGAATTCATACATTCTGGATCTCCTCAATTTAGGAAGGCTCCTTCGTGATGGTCGACCAAATCATGTACTCGGCACCGTTGTGTAATGTTGGAGGTAAAGGGGCAAGCCAGCAGAGATCATTTTGGAAAATCACAAAAACGAGAATTCTATGTTTCAGTTGATCTCGGCGACAACTTCTTGACAAAACCGCTGATCACGGCAGCTATGGGCAAGGTGAGGGCTCCTAGACTCACCCTTCAACGGCCCTTTAGGACATCTCCCTGGCGAGCCAGCTCGACTGCGCCGATTTCGACGAGAAATGCCGGTGGAGGAGTGGCGGCCAGTCGGATAAGGTAAGTAAAAGCGGTGCGGCTGCGTTGTGGTGGATTTGTCATGGTGATTTTAGCAGATCCTGGTGTCGCTGTGCCTTTAATTACAAGTTTTTAGATGTGGCGTCGATCCACTTCGCCTCTACCTCGAGAATTCCTTTACAATACTACTGGAAGTTATATGGGTAAGAGAGGAGAGATAGGGAGAGAGCCAGAGAGAGAGAGAGAGAGAGAGAGAGTGAAAAATTTTCCATTTTCAGGCCCATCGGGAGCCTATGCTGTGCTTTACATCGATCAGGGCTCCAAGAGGCCCCTCGACGTCCTAAAAGCCGACCCAATCCCGTGCCAAAGCCAGACCGAGAACAAGCTATCATTCAGGTCAGTTATAAGTTGTTCAGTGAATACACGAGAGAGAGAGAGAGCGTGAGAGAGAGTGAGAGAGAGCGATAGAGAGAGTGAGATGTACTGTAGGGTTACTGTAGATGGTGGGCAACCCGGGACGTCCGTCTCGAGGTGTGTGCCGTAGGCCCGCCGGGTACCCCCGAGGAATGTCGTTCGTTGCCCGCCGAAACGAGCCCCGCACCGGCCGAAGTATCGTTCCGGACCGCGTCCACGCAGTTTACGGTGGGTATTAAGCTAAAATAATTGTTTACGGTTAAACCGGTATTGCATAAATTATATGGTATTATCTGCCGCAAGTTACCGTACGACAAAGTTATGATGAGGAAATCGGCTGTGATAAAAACAGCATACTTTAGTTTACGATACATATTAGTACGATATACTACAAACGGTATGAGACGGTCTACCGTAGGTTGTACGGCGTAGTACAGGATAGTACGTTTGATACGTTTGTTACGCGCAACATCCAGTCCTGAGTACGCTATGCTACGCATAGTACACAGCATCGAAATCCGGTAAAAAAGCTAAATTGATTACTCTTGAATTTTTCAGATTCAAATCCGTGTGGCGAGCTTCAGTCCAGATTTCGACAGCGTCGTCATCATTGACGATTTGACGTACAGGTGCGTGGATACGATTTGACCGTAGGTTGCATAATTCCAGGGCGACGCTATGTACGGACCCGCTGTCTGTGTTTGACCTCGGCGAACACTTTGTTTCGACCCCAATGCTGTCTCTACTTCTCCATCGGCACGTCAATTCTGGGAAGGTACGGTAGTTGGGTTCGGATTTAGAATTTTGCCCCGTTAAAAAATTTTGCGTAAAATTTCAAATTTAGGAATTGTCCTGTGACTTCTCGAAGCGAGCAGCCGATTGTGTTTGGGGATCGACGGAATATAACAATGTTGAGGACAGGTACGGTAGTTGCAATTTGGAAAGTGGCGTAATCTGTATTACAACCTAATTCGGATTTTTCGGTTAAATTATCGTAATTAGCTAAATTCCGAAATAGGGTGAATTTTTAAAATACAGTAATCAGTCAGATATCGTATTCCTTGAAATTCTAACTTAAGTGACGTTAATTACCTGATTACCGTAATCTAATGAATTTTTGAGATATCGTTAGCAGATCGATAGCGTATTTTTAGGGCCCAATAATTTGTAGAATCTCACAATTTTGTACTTTTCCGTAATAAGCTATATACGGTATTTTTGAGAATTTGTATGGTAGAGTAACCACGTAAATACCGTAATTTTAAGCAAAGTAATCTGTCCTGCACCCTTTAAAGCCGAAACAAAAATATTCTATAAAAAATCAAAGAAATAACAGTACAAAATAATAAATAAAAATATTACTATAAAATATATAGTAAGAATGACAAAAAATCTTTGAAAAATAAAGAAATAAATAATTTTTCAGTGAACTTGTTCCTGACGTCTGGCAGGTGGGCCATGGTCCGCTTAATGAGGAGAAGCTGTACTCGTTGAGTGGCCAGACTCGGACTCCAGGTCTAGATAATTTCTAGGTCTTTTTAAAGCCCGATTCAGACGGCGAGTTCGCGGTGGCCAAGTTCGAGACGGGCGGCTCGTCGCTGTTGCTCTCGGAGGTTAGTATTTTTGTCAAATATATTTCCGGTATTCTGCACCAATTTTTTGCACCTGAACTTGCTGCAGTCGCGTTCCGCTCTTTTTAGGCCAATTTTCCAGGTGATCCGCTGCGTGCTGGACGACGTCTCGATCTCGTTCAACATGTGGGCCACGGGGACGGCGTCGTTGCAGGTGGCTTGGCCGGTTACGCTATGAAACAGGGGGCTCTAGGTGTGTCTGGTGGAAGAATCGTCGCCATCGCTGCTCGATTGCCAGCCGGCCGCCTCGGGACCGGTGGTCGTCGACTTGCCGCCCATCAAGAAACCGTTCAGGTCACTACTTTTCCCATTTTTATTACTTACAATACAAAGCGTAATCAATTAGCCTTCATAGTTAAATTTGGTATCGTAATAGAAAATAAACTTTATTTCCGTTTTTTACTGTTTACATTATCCTACTATATATATAAAAAATAGTGTCTGTGTGTTTGTGTGTGTGCCACTTTGCATCCACTTCCGTCTGTCTGTCCGGAGGATATCTCGATAGGGGAGCAATTTTAACGTATGTATGATACGTCATTAGGTGCGCAATGGTCTTGAGATGACTGCACGCAGATCAAATTTATCAAAATCACCTATTTTCGACATTAAATTTTAGTTTTTGTTAAAACTTCTTTGTTAGGCATAATTAACATAGGCCGGAAATTGGGATTCAACTATATAAAGGCACAGAAGTGGTTGTTTTTCATATTTTAACTTCCGAATTTAGCACAATTATCCAAAGTGAAGGATAAAATTGGGTCAGGCGGGGCCAGGGTTGAAAAGTCGCGAAGCGGCTTTTCAACCCTGGTGCTAATTAATTGCAAAGACGTTTTTCTACTTTTTTTGTTAATAGAATACGTGATTTGAAGACGGAAATCTCCTTTACACCCTTCATTAATTATAGCATGTAATTGATTAGCTACATTTCCGCTTTATACTGATTACATTACGCCATGTAATGGCTAAGACACTTTTTGCTACCTTTTCTGTTGTAGAATACGTCATTTAATGACGAAAATCTCCTTTATACCCTTCATTAATTATAGCACGTAATCAATTGGTCCATTTCCGCTATTTACTGATTACATTACGCTATGCAATCTATAAAACCCACCCTCCCTTCAGAATAGCTCTTCGCGCCGACGCCGAAGACCAGGGCCTCCTTATTGTCGACGACATTGACGTCCAGGTATCGTTGCGTCGTCGAGGGAGTTAAAGGGGTTAGAAAACCCAAAATGTCGACTAGGTATCGATAAATGCCCGTAATTGCGTGTGAAGCGTAGTTGTCGAGACCCATGGGCTCGATTCTGGCCTTCCCAGCCCCTTTAAAACGTTTTTCAGGGTTCCGTCTGCCCGGCCTTCGCACGCCAGTTCGCCTCCAAACATTTCAGGTAAAACTACGCGACGCTCCTCCTTACAGCCCCTTGTTTCAGCCCGTCCGTCGAGCACCCAGACCCGAACGTGTGCCGCCTGTTGTCCTGCGACTTCTCCCATGGCCACGCCTGCCTCTATACGCACAATACCGTACCCGGATCCGCACCGTTCAGGGTATTGTCTCGTAGCCATTGTATTAAAGGGGCGGGAAAGGCTCAAGGATGTCATGTTCTGAAGCGAAGCCTAAGCCTGAGCTTAAGCTTAATCGAATCCGAAGTCAGGGCTAAGCCAAGCCTAAGTCAGACCTAAGGCAAAGCCAAGTCTGAGCTATGCCTCGGCCAAGCCTAACCCAAACTTAAGCCTAGGGCCAAGCTTAAGCCTAATCTCACACCTACGCCAAGCCGAAGCCTAAGCCAAAGCCATTCATAAACCAAGCATAAGCCAACCTAGGTCAAGCCTAGGCCAGGCCTAAAGCTAAGCCAAACCTAAGCCATGCCTAGCCCTAGCCTAACCTAAGCCTGTTAGCATAAGCCTAAGCCCAAGCGTACCTAAGCCTAAGCCAAACCTAAGTCAAGCCTAAGCCAGGCCTAGGCCAAGCATAAGACAAGCATAAGCCAAGCCTAAGTCTAAGTCGCGTAAAGAAGCCTAGGCTAAGCCCACCTTTAGTCGAAACCTAAGCTTTAAGCGCTGTTTCTCGCGAGCGCTGTCCAAATCCATAAGAAATCCGTGCCTTTAATTGAATTCAGGTAACCAATGCCGGTGCTCGAGCCACGATCTCAAAAGGGCGCCCGGTAGCCGTCCTCGAATCGGTCCCATTCCGCCTGAATACCATCGGACGGTTGCACTTCACGTATGCCACTACGGTAATTTTGTGATGTCATTTTTGTAAGTGTAATTTAGGGCGATGCTTCGCTGTATGTGTGCAATGACAGTGTGAAAAAGGAGCTGGAGAGTTGCTTCAAGGTAATTAACCGTAAAAATACCCTGAAACCTGATAAATTCAAAAACACTAAAAATTTGCAGGTAGAAGGCTCGGATGGCGAAGATTACATCGAACTGCTGCCGAGTGATACAAAGGTGAATTATCGAGCGATACTTTGGGCTACCGTATCCCATTCCCTGTTTTTTGAACAATAGTTCTTCTTTAAATTTGTATAAAAATCCTTACGTACTGTGGTGTAGCATCCTGTAGTGTAGCGTACGGTTGTGTCATGTGGGGTAACGTATCGTGTCGTAGCGAACTGCTGAGGCATGCATAAGGTACTGTAACGTAGCGTAAAGTACCCTAGCATACTGCAACGTAGCGTAGCGTATTGTAACGTAGCGTACCGTCCCGCAGCGTACTGTACTGGGGCGTAGCGAAGCGTACTGTTGCCTCTTGTAGGGTGCCGTATAGTATCGTAGTGCATGGTTGTGGCATGTACATAGGGTAGCTCACCTTAGCGCACTGTAAGGTAGTGGACCGTACCGCAGCGTACTGTACCGTATCGCAATGTGGTGTATTCTGGCACAATTGTCTAATGCTAAATAAATATAATTTACGTATATTAATGAAGTATCAACCTCAATATTTCAGGTGTACCTAATCGGCCGCCTCTCCGAGCATTCACTCGATTTGGGCTCGTTGCGGATCATGAACTTGACGCTGACCGATACCATCGACGAGCCGGCATGCTAAATCAACAGATTTTAGCGCCTAACAATTGTGTTTTGCCATTTTGAGGGGGACGTAAATTGGAGTCGGCCGGAAAACCGGAAAACACCGATTTTCCCCTTGCATTTTGTAGCTTGCAGGGCGCTGATTATTGCAATAACAGCGCACGCTAAAAATACTCTTTCTCTCTGCCTCTCTCTTGCTCTCTCTCACCCTGTCTCTCTCTCTCTCTCTCTCTCTCTCTCTCTCTCTCTTCTTGTTGATTTTGTTGATCTCTATGTTGTGATATATCGCCGTGTCAATTCACTGTGCCAGGCAATAGCGGAAGCGATAAATTGTATTTTATGGAGGTATCAAAATGTATAAATTATTTTTCCGTTCAGCTACTGTAGATTATGGCAGCTCCTTGACACGGTCCTTCAACCCGAGCAGCGCCAACTGCATCCGGGTCTGCTCGCAAAAGTCGCCATACAGTTGCTCCCAAGCCACGCGCGCTTCCTCCTACAAATTTCGGATTAAAGGGCCAGACAAGTCATGGCTATGGATTTTCTAGGATATGGATTTTGTGCTACCGGTCCCACCCAACGCAAAAATTTCGCACGGAAAGCGTCAGTTTTCATTTTCTGCTTGTGACTCCGCAATTATTCCACAAAAAAAAGTGTGCTTAAAGCAAAGAGTTCTCTCTTCTCTCTCCCCCCTCTCTCTCGCTCTCTCGCTCTCTCGCTCTCTCTCGCTCTCTCGCTCTCCCTCTGTCTCTCTCGCTCTCTCTCTCTCGCTCTCTCACACCCTCACTCGCCCTCTCTGTCGCTATCACTCGCTCTCTCTCGCTATCTCTTTCGCCCGCTCTCTCGCTCTCTCTATTTCTCTTTGGCGCTTTCGCAAGCGGCGCGCGCGTTATGCAACAAAACTCGGCTTTTATCGGTTTTCGTGGCGCGCAATGCGATGAGCGATTTTCCGCTTCTTCCGCGCGTTGCGTCAAAATCGTAAAAAACCACAGTCATGCCCGTTACTTTATAACTCTCCATGTCATTTGGAGCCTACCGTACCTCAACCACCGTATTTGCAAAGACAAAATCGCGAAAATGCCGGGCAAACTCGTCGAAATGGCCGGAAGTGAGGTGGTACTTCTCGTGCCGGGCCATCACCTCGAACACGAAACTGTGCCATCTGAAGCGCCGATTAAATTAGATAAGCTTGCTCGTTTCCGGTTACCGATTCTCGTTTGAATAGTTCTCGACGAGCTGCGCGAATTCGGACACCACCTTTGCGCCCAGGGTCAGGAATCTGAAGAATTATGGGTGAAATGGCTATTTAAACCAAAGTAAAATATTCTGCTAATAATAGAAAAATACTATTTATTATTGAATGTGTACTAAAAGGGAACAATAAACGCCGGAAAACCTACCGCGTACTCGTTTCGATGTCCTTTTCCTGGAATGCGGCCACCCCTGACAACGCCTGCTTGTACTCTGGGCTTTTCGAGATGATGCTGAAAGAGAGTTGCTTTCTTGGGGTCCGAAATGTCCGAATTTCGTGAAATAGGACAACGCTACGCTACTCTGCACGCATAATATGCGCTTATTACATTTCTCGCCATAAATTCCGGTAAAACCCGCCAGCTTAGAAAGCATTAGGTAAAATTGTACTGTGGAGCGTCGCGTTTCCGTAAACTCGACTACGGGACGCTCCTCTGCACATGTTCATCCTATGCGCTCGTTGCATCCCTGCGTCTATATACTTTTTTTGGTACTGGTTTGGCATAACTTGTTATCATAACAAAGCGAGATTCAGAATACCGACATTTTTTCTGGTCCAAGCCCAGAATACCGACGTTTCTCCGGGTCGACATTCATATTATCGAAAATCGTAATTTGGAATCTTCATAATGTCGAAATCTCGGCATTCAAAATTGTTGAAATTTCAATATGTCGAAATTTTAAAATTTGTAAAATAAAATAGAATTTGGGGATTTTCCGGGAGATTTGCTTACGTCATGTTCGGCATTCTGAAATTTTCGACATTTTGAAAGCAACCCTCAGTCCAAAAATTCCGTGCAACCGCGCCAAAACCATGACGTAGAAATGTTAGACCAATTCAAAGACGTCAATGGACCAATTTTCAACCTTGATTCTTGATTTTTGCATGTTTTCAATGTCTCCCTGGGGAGAATTGGTCATCTACCAGCCTTAAATTTTTCTGCAAAACTCTAAACCCCCGCCAAATTACCAAAAATTCATGACGCAGGAGTTTCTCCACACCCTCCAAAACTCCACCACGCCCGTTGGGATTGCCTAGATTGTCTTGATGCGCCTCCAAAAAAAGAAAGGAAAAAGACAAAGCCCCGAATTACGCGGCGCCCTTTTCCTGCGTGATTGCGTAGTAGGGGGCTGATTTCTATTTGAGGCCCTCAATGATAAAAATTGCTGGGTTGTGCAGAGGAAAATGCGTAGTTTTTCCCAACGCCTAATTAGCGCCCGCTTCGCAAAAACGCGCTAGAAGTTTGTGGGCCAGAGAAATGGACGCCGGAAAACAATAAGATACGTAAAATCATTTTAAAAGAATGATTTTAGAAATAAAATACAAAACTAGGAATATAAAAAACTGTGCAAAACCCACTACGCGATCAATTTTGCCGAATCCTTGATGTTCTCGTCGTCGCTGCCCGGGTGGACGTGGAACACGGCTTCCAGCGTCTTCAGCACGCTCTTTGAAACAATTTCGCGATTCATCTAAGAAAAATTACGGGGTTTTTGAGGGTTTGAGCAAGCAAATAACTTTTAGCGTACAACGCTAAAAGGTGAAAAATTCGAAAATTAAACTTTGAGATAGAAAAACCGGGTGGTTTTGCGTTATCGGGGGGATTTTGCTAGATCTTGCTTAAAAACGGGCAAAACTCAAACTCTAAAAAATAAATTATATTTCGTTATAAGGCCGCACGTTACTTCGAAATAATTGCTTGTTAAGTGCTAACCCCCCCGCTAACAGTCCAGTACCACAATTTATCTCCCCCGATAAGGCCACAGAACCAAGTTCGGTCCTCAGTGGAATTGTAAAGAGTTTCTAGAAGGAGTAAAAAGCGGAAGTTCCAAGGGTATGGAAGCTTGGGGCGGACACTAAAAAGCGACCATAAAACCCCCCGAGCACAACAATTAGACCGTGAACCCCACCAAAAAACTTTGCCAACATCCCGTGATGGGCCGTGGGGAGCTCGAGCCCGGCCCGTCCGGCCAAGCCGGAATGGGCAACACCCACCTTGTGGGGGAGAACCTGCTGTTGCCACTGACGACGAGACAGGATTTGTGAAGGAAGGTAAGGGGCCCGATGAAAGGGAAGGCCCCCTAATCACTTCTTCTAGCCCCCCACCCGGCACACGGTCAAATCAAAAACCCGGCTCTTGCTCAGTTCCAGAGCGGGAAATCGAATTTTTGGCTTTAAAGGGATGCGGACGGCATAGTCAATCGGTTACGCGCTGGAAAGAAAATGTCTCTGCGCCTCTCCCCTGGGCGCGCTCTCTCCCCTGCCAATTACTACTTGCCAATTTGTTGATGAGGGGGGATCGACACATGCCGTCGGCAGCCCTTTAAATCGATATTTTCAAACCGCGACGGGTGAGCAAGAGTTTAAAAATCAAGGAGGAGAACGTCAGAGCGAGAGAGAGGGAGTGAGAGTGAGAAAGAGTGAGCGAGAGCGAGAGCAAAGAGAGCCAGAGAGAGAGAGAGAGCGCGCGAGAGAGAGCGAGATCCAGAGAGAGAGAGTGAGAGAGAGAGAGAGAGAGAGAGCGACAACTAGAGAGAGCGAGCGAGAGATCGCGAGAGAGGGAGCGTGAGGGAGAGCAATTGTTTTATCCGTGTTTAGAACAGGCCTTTTGAGAATGGGAAGTGGCCGTGCCCCCCGCCCCCGCTAACGAAACAGAAATGAAACTTGTACAGTTTTGCTTTCAATGGGTGAAAAAAAACGAAAACTATCGAAAAACGTCGAGATTTTCAAAATTGATCCTTTCTGTCGAAAAATCCGGATTTTGTAAATTTTTACTAGTATCTGTATAATCTTCATACGACGGTTGGTGAAAAACGATACATTACCCCGTTGAATCATAAATCTGTGGATCGGAAGAAAAGGGTTTGTTTCCCCCTGGCCGATAATGAGAAATGGTCGCCGTTTATTGGATCTAGCCCGGGAGGTTTTCGATTGCAACGTTCCCGAAAATAGGGTACAGAATTTGGGAGCTCGGCCGGAGATTTGGGCAGGTGTTTTCAGTAATTGGCCGGGAAAGGCCAAAATCAGGGAATGTAGAGGCCGGTATCGACAGACGGACATGAATACAAGCTGAAAAAGTACGGCTTTATAAATTAAGCATCTCTGGGCTTAAATTTGCTTGAAAAGAAGGATATTTAAAGGGGATTAGTGTCCAAAAACACAAATTGCGGAAAAATTTAACAAGCTCGCGTAGTAAGCCTGTGCGAAGGAGCTCCGCGTAGTTGACCCCACGAAAACGCGGCGCTCCACTGCACATTTTATCTAATGCGCACTGGATATCGCGAGGAACTGGATTTTTTAGAACGCGCGACACGCAACGGAACCGTTACGCCTGACGACGACGACGCGAGCCTGCGCCGCGCGTTGTTTATCGCGACTCGAGGCGCTGTAACCCTACAGGAATCCATAGTCGATTGAAACCCAATTTTTTCGAAAAAAAAACCGCTAGACTCGGTCGGGATTTGGTCACGTGGCGGAACTTCCCTTTTATCCATCGGCACCCACCCGGAAAGACGTCTTAGCCGCCCGTGGGAATCGCCGTAATAAAGGCCCCAAAAAAACTAGCCTGTCTGCCGACATTAAAACTTCTGAAGTGTCTGAGTGAGAAATAGAAAGCAAAAGAATTTTGGGGCGCATTCGTCGTTTGGCATCCGGAAAAATACTACTCACACGCTCGAAAACTCAAAACAAGAGCCTAGCTGAGGTCACAACTGTTGAAAATTGCGATAAAATTGGGCAATTAGCAAATATTAACGGTATTTTAAGGCATTAATTTTGGCTCTGTACCGATATAAGGGATTTCTGCCGATATAAGGGATCACCGCCGATATAAGGGATCAGGGCCTCGGACCGTCGATATAAGGGATCACTGCCGATAAAAGGGATCACCGCCGATATAAGGGATCACCGCCGATATAAGGGATCGGAAAAAAAAACCCGAAAATGGCGAGTACCGATTTAAGGGATCACGAAACCGGATTTCGGGCAAAATGTCGATATAAGGGATCACGAAATCGGATTTCGGGCAGAATGTCGATATATGGGTTCAGAAGAAGGATTTTGCGCGATATATTATTACATTGATGTAAAGAGCTATTTATTTAGGTCGATTTCGAAAGAAATTACAGAGAAGTTGATAAAAACTAATGTTTTACGGAAGTATTGTTCAATCTGATGCCTTTGCCAGTTTGTGATCGTGGTGCCTCCGCCTTTCCTTTTCCCTCATCCACCTTATTTAGTTTTCTGCGACTCGCGCGTTAACCTCTGCCAGGACTTATTGGACTGGTATTTAAACCAATGGACTAACTCGGTGATGCAGCTATTTCGATCTGCTTTAGTACGACCTCTGCCATCAATTCTTCGGCGTTCCAATCAGCTTCCTTCCGGCCCCCACCAGTTTACCGAAAATCGAATAATACTTCCGTAAAACCTAGTTTTTATCAACTTCTCTGTAATTTCTTTCGAAATCGACCTAAATAAATAGCTCTTTACATCAATGTAATAATATATCGCGCAAAATCCTTCTTCTGAACCCATATATCGACATTCTGCCCGAAATCCGGTTTCGTGATCCCTTATATCGACATTTTGGCCAAAATCCGGTTTCGTGATCCCTTATATCGGTAGCCGCCATTTTCGGGATTTTTTTCCCGATCCCTTATATCGGCGGTGATCCCTTTTATCGGCGGTGATCCCTTATATCGGCAGCGATCCCTTATATCGGCGGTGATCCCATATATCGGCAGAAATCCCTTATATCAGTACAGAG